CAAGGACGTTCCAACTATGGCCTGACCAGCCCTCAGCCCCGATCTCAACCCAATTGAGAACGTTTGGGGCGTTTTGGCCCGTGCTGTGTACCGAAATGGTCACCAATACGACACCGTTGAAGACTTGAAGCGACAAATTGCCATCGAGTGGGAACGTATCACGCTAGCGTACTGCCGGACACTTGTTGACAGTATGTCGACACGAATGGCTCAAGTCATCTTGAAGAGAGGAGCAAAAATCGACAATTAGTCGACATGTAGGTATTGCGGCTATAATATCGCACCAAAAATTTTTCAGTGTTTTCTTCGTAAATCAAAAATTTATATAGCCATGGAGCTATGTACGTCATGATGGGAGCGCTCTCGTCATATCTTTCGAATAGAATTTTTAGATTTCGAGCTTGTTGAACAGCAACTTCACATCATGAAAATTTTGGGGTGCGACTATAATTTTGTTCCAGACTGTATGAATACAACAGCGACGAACAGACTCGATCTTGCTGCACCATCCATTCCGATATCTCGTGCCATCTATGCACATCGCGTAGGCACTTACTAAGGTCATTCTCCAATGCGTCACCGCACGCAAAAGGCGAATGCCTCAAGCCGTGGAGCTAGAGATGGGAGTTGGAACATGGCGGATGCGTGATGGACGAGTGTTTTCCTCTGAGCACACCTCCCAAGCAAGGCGATACTATGAACGGGAAGAGGGCATGTATGTGGTGCCTCATCGTTGTTCATTGCATTCCCCGCGCGCTACGGCGATCCCGCTAGCAACCACACGTCGTGTTGCCGAAAATAAATTCACCTTTTTGAAATGCCACCTGTTTTGATTGGTTCAACTGGAATACGGCGATTCACACCGTGGCAATCCGGAACGGATGCGCTTCCGTGTTGAACACAAACTGGTCGAGCGGAAGGAACGACGGCGCGCTTTGGAGGAGGTAGTGATACTTGAGCGTCTCGGCGAGGAAGAAGCTCTCCATCTTGTCTTCAACGTACGACACGCTGAGATCGTGGACGTTGCGGACAGCGCCGTACCCGTACGTGGTCTTGGCATGCTGTTCCAGCGACTCAAAGATGGTCCAGCCCCACTCCCGGTAGATCGGATCCTGTGTGATTCGGAACAAGTACATGAGGCTCTCGACGGTCTCCGGGCGAAGTTTATAGATGGAGTTTTGCACGTCGAAGCCGGGGAAGTGGACCAAGTCAGGCGCGAGGCCCGTGGGTTGCCTCGTGTAGTACGACACACACGTGTGCATGAGCTTCTTGGCCATGTCCAAGTGCTTGTCCACTTTGTGTGCATCGGTCTCGCCAACCGTGCCCAAGGCGAGCATGCCTGGCACGAAGCAAAGCAAGTGGTCTTGCTGGGGAGTGCCCTGCACACCACAACTTCATCGTCAAGAGAGCGCAGCTACCCGAGCCACCCCCACTTGCACGTACCTCCATTTGAGGAATACGTAGCTCTTGCAAAAAGTACGCATCGTCCGGCAACGAGTGCACAAACAAGTGCTTCTCCATGCCATCGACGGCATCGTCATACAACCTGCGCAGGAACTCGTCCTCGCTTCGCTTACCGCTGTACAGCCACACCTTGAGCAAGTACTCATAGAACGAATCACCAAGCGCTCCAATGGTCACAAACGTGTCGGAGCGGGAAAACGTCCCCGAGTCGGGCTCAAAGTGGACGGGAAAAAGCCCCGTCCGTTTGTACGACCCCTCTCGCTGGATCACGTCGTAGAACGCGTCGCCCTGCGCACTGAATGAGAAACAACACGCACGCCAGTCGAAATGCCACCTTCTCGGCGTACTCTGCGTTGCCTGTGACGTCAGTCAAGTAGCGCATCTCGAGCTGGAGCGTGCCGACGTCTGCCAAGAATGCGCTGCGCAAGAGGTTGAGCTTCGACCGATGTGCGTGCGCACGTACCGGTACCGCGTCCAGTGGTTCATCGTCCTGCGCTGTGTAAAGACGTTGAATTTCGTGTAAAACACTTGGTCGTCAAAGGCTGGCAAGAGTAAATCGGCCAACTCGACTGCGCGGTGCTTGAACACGTCATCTTGCGACAGATCGTATGCGCTGAGGAGCCCACCAAGCTCACGAATGATCACTTCGAACACGCTAATCATGGTGCCGTCCTGGCCCAAGTGGGAAAAGTCCAGCTCGTTGGCAACCCAGTATCGGCAACGTTCAAATTCGTCCTGCACGTCATCCACGAAGACTCAGGTGTGGTGTGAAGAACAACGGACTAACCTGCATGCCCATGATGTACAACGTGTCCAAAGAGTCCACAAGAGTAACTCCGATACCGCCCCATACGTTCGGTCGCGGCAGTCCAGACACTGGAGCAACTTCGTCCGCTCCAAAGGCACGGGTTTCGTAGCCTGTCCAGGCGTGTTGCATGGCGCGTCGAATGGCGTCCTGTCGAGAAATTTGTGTCGCGTTCAGGTCTTGATGCGGAATCGGAATGAACTTTCGCCGCCGCGCCATGTTGTGGTTCCGTGTTGGTGCGATGGGTGTTGCAGGCGGCGACGGTTTGAGTCGCCGAGATCTGGAAAAGGTCTCGAAAGACCGGTCTGTGACAGAGGAGATATCCAGCTGGGACACAATGTAGATCTGGACGCCCACAAACAGCGCGACGACAACCAGGACCACCGGAATCTTGACCCGATTCGGCACCCGCGCCATGTCTCTCACCTTGGTCGTCTTCGATCTGCTGGATCCGGTTAACCACCCTAACTACAACCGGACGACACTGGCATTTGAACGGTGTGACATTTCAAGCACATTCAGCGCCGACTTAATGCCATCGTCGCGATATGCAAGCAAGAACATGCACGCCACACGAAGTTGCATGGCATTTTGTTTGTACGCAAGACGCTGCTGTACTGTCGTGGTCGTGAAGTGCCTGTCGAAACAAATGGAGGCTGGGGACTGACGTCGACCTTGCTGGAGAACGACGGCGTTGCGGGCCTTCAGAAGAGCAACATAAATTGGGCCTTCGTTACACTCTCGTAGTTCCAGACTGCACACGGAACGGATGCGCCTCCGTGTTGAAGACAAACTCGTCCAGCGGAACGAACGACGGCGACGACTGGAGAAGGTAGTGGTACTTGAGCGTCTCGGCGAGGAAGAAGCTCTCCAT